TAGAATGTTTCTACTTTTCTATATTATAGTATTGTGACTGCTGTGGAATAATTACTTTTATGTTCAGGTATCTTATTTATTTTTGAATATTGATTTGATTTTGCTCTCTTAGTAGTTAATTATTTGAATTCATTTAACTATTTATATTTAACTTTATTGTTGTGGCGAGCAGAGTCATGATCTTGTGGCCACCACTAATATGAGGACAAGAGGTGGTTAGGTTGTCCACTGACAGATTTTTAGACTTACTTAAAATGGCCCTTTGTAATTAAGTTTATTTTATTGTTTTTCATTGTGATTGTTGTAGGATGTTGCATATTGTAATTATTAACATCTATATTTTTAGCACTGCTTTTTTGTAAATCATTCTGGGAGCCACAAAGCAATAAAACAAATAAATAACCCGTAATATACTTCCCCAGCCTTGATCTGGGCTACTGGCACTTGTTTCCAGAAGTGAGGAATCCTACTGCGAGGTTCACCGGAGTCAGACATTGTGCCCCCCCATGTAGTAGCCAGAGTTGAGCAGAGGGGCACATGAAGAAAGGATGCCAATACCTCCCAGTAACTGTAGCATGTACACCAAATCAAGCAAGTGATGAAGAGAAGTGGGGACATTCAAAAGCCAAATGGAACAAATGATCCCCACCCAAGGCTGAAATCTTGTGCCACCATCAAGGCCTCAAAGGAGATCAGAAAGAAGAGATGCATTTGAAGGGGAAAAGATGTTCCTTCCATGCATCCGTCCCCCAGGAACCATGGCCCAGCTCTGCATTTCCCCTGTTCAGAAGTGACCCGAGCTCATCAACCCAGGCCTGCCAGCAGAGGTCTGCTTCAACCCTCATGTTGGGGGAATGCCTTCAGCACCTGCATAATTGCAAGGTGCAGTTTTACTTCTTTTACTCAAAGCAACTTTGGAAACTCCAGCCTGGGTCCTGGTGGAAGAGCTCTGTGCCCTGTTTCTACTGGTGCTCCTGCCTTAGGATGTCACTGGCACAACCCAGTATCTTGGGCCCAGAGAAGAAAACACACACATCAGCTGTACGATGGTTGAGCCATTGTTTTCAATGGATTTTTCCCTCAGGGTTTCCCTTTCTGTGTCTTCCAGGATAATGTTCCCTTGTGGGCATCAGCCAGCCCGGGAATGCAGTGCTGCAGGAAGGCTAAAGCACCCGCCTGGCGTGCAAGCAAACGAATGAGCACGGTACTCATGTTTTGATATCAGCAGGTTGTGTGGCAGGGTCTGCAGTTCCTTTCAGCGTCTAGTCAAAAGAATTTTAAGCTAAAGGGAATGTTTCAACCGTTTCTCAGCTAACAGCTGCAGGCAGGCCAGGGCCACCTGATTATCTCTTCCATAAACACAGAACTTCAAACTAACCCCTGCTTCCTACAAAAACCTCACTTCCTCAATGTGTGTGAGGGTAGAGCTAAGGTACGTGGGAATCTGCCGAGGGAAAAAGGGTTTTATCCCTCCTTATGCCTGCCAGTGCTCAGAAATGCTTCCTCCAACGTGGGCTCTCCTTTAACTGATTTTTGACCAGCTGAACTGGAAATTAGCCTGGGGGGGGGGGAGGGAATCACCTCATGGGACTGGCTAGATGGAAGATCTAAGCATTTTGCACATTTCCCCCTTGCTCTCCTCTCAGCATTTGCAGTTCGATTAGTTAAGCCAACTTGGGTATGGGACCACATGTTTGCCAGAATAACATCCAGTCCCACTCTGAGAGACCAATATTTATTTAAAGTTATTTTAGGTCATCGTTAAGGGGGAAAACCCCTCTTAAAGCACCATACAAGATAAAATAAAAATATACATAAGATAAATACACACAAGACAGACAAATAAATCAAATGCCATAAAACAAAATAACTTTAGTAAAACCTGCATCCCACAGACTATTTAAAAAGACAGTGAAAAGGACAGGTTTTTAGAGCCAAACTTTGTCTTACATCTAAATGACTCTTAGGTCTTGTTCTTTAGAGCAAAAAAAATGGGTTTAACAGACACAACTATTCCATAAAAGGGTGAAGACCAACCTGGTCTGTCACCAAAGGCTCCTGAGTAAACTTAGCAGTCATAGGTTAAAAGGAAGGGACCTCTTGCAGATTACCAACTGTTTCAACAAGAGGGAGCAGAGTTTAGGAGTAAACAGACATTTTTCCTAATGAAGGGGAGTTAACAGTAGTGTCCACCATGGAGATGTATTTAGAATTTGAGATCAGTGTTATTAAACATGTTCAAAAATTACTTGGAGTCAGGAGGAAGTAGTGAAGTAGCCACAGCTGTAAATTGATACTTAAAGCTGTCCTAAAATTAAAGAGATTTTGTCATTTGAAATTGCCCTTCAGAGTTGAATTGCAAAACAGAGATTTGTAAATACTCAAAATGCCAAAAACATATATTCAGAATCTGATTTGTTTACCTGGTTTCACAGTTCTGTCAATGCCCTGTTGTGCTGTAATCATAGCACCGTGTGCACATGAGACTCAAGGCTTTCACCAGATGGAAAATGAGGTTCCACAGGAGTCCTCGCAGCTGATTTCTCTTTCGGTTACACACAGTACACAGGAGAAAAATGTGAAAACAAATGTGTGTTCTCTTAAACCTCATTACTGAGAGGTGATGCAGTGCCAACCAACCATGGAAAAACTTGGAAATGTCTTAAATCATGAAAAGTATTTGGAGTCTCATACACTGAAGAGAAACAAGGGAGAGCAAGTCTGCCGGCAAGCACTTTGATGAATGCAAAAAGTATATGGTATATGGAAGAGGATACTTTTTCTAACTTTGAGATGCAGTGTTGTGAACTCCAGAGAGGTTATAAAAAGTGAGTTGCTAATACCTTAAAATCTGACTGGCTGCTTTGCTCTTAACTGATGAATTAGCTTTCAATTTCAGGTTACATAATCTTAAACAAGATGGATTCTCCTTCTTCTTGAATCAAACAGCTAAATATTGGAAAGTGGTATGTGAAGAATTTGCTGTTTGCATTGGAAGCTGCATTGGATACTTCATTGGAAGTATCATGTTCTGAACCCCCACTTCACTCACCCCACATTAATGTAGGGGTCAGATTGTAGCTATTCTTCAGGCTGCTGATCTGTGAATGTTGGGGTATGTGTTCTGGTTTTTAAACCCACACCAAAATGCATTTTAAAAGCATATGTTACCTGAATGAGGAAATATATTCAGAATTACATACTTAAATAAGCATACCTGTATGACTTTTTCCTCAATAATTACAGAAACTCTTATGGATGGAAAAAACTTACTAATGAACCAGTGCAACCATGATGTGGATCCAAAACTGACTGATCTGGATTCCGGATTAAGAAAAAGTGTTGCTCACTCAGGTGACATCATCAAAGTATTATTGCTACAAACACATCTGGATTGGACCAGCTGCATTGCCCATAACAGATGACTTCACCCATCCAGTGAAGATGATTCAACCTCAGCAGAAATAAGTCCTCCTCCCTGTGGATGCGCAGCTGCTCTGCCTCATTGGCTGGATGGTCTTACAGTCATCCCCCCAACCAATCAGATGCTTGAGTGAGCCTCCTCCTTTATGGAACTCGTCGGACATTCGGGTGGGACAGACATTGTGTGTGTGAATGTGTGTACCTGTGTGCATTTCTCGTGTGACAGGAGCCACAAGGAGGGAGATGCTGGGGGTCTGGGTTGGCTTTACGTTGCTGGCAGGTAGGAATTTCCCCAAAGCAGGATGGGTTTATCCCACTGTTGTGGGGACGGAGACAGCACCACAACCTCCCTCTTGCCTGTTAAGTTTCATGCACTTTTCTCTGGTGAAGGAGAAGCAGGCCCTGGCTACAAAAATTAGATGCCATTAACTGGGGGAAAGGGACATCTCTGTGTTGCTTTCCAAAGAGAGAGGTTGCTGTGAACCAAGCAGCATTTACATATGAACTGAGCAGCCTCCCTTGTTATGGGCCTTATTCACATCTCAGGTCTTTACAGGTCTCTGCTGCAGGTTCTGAGTCCAAGGTCAACCACCTTGCTGTTGATTCAGTTTGTGGTAATGCTTCAGAGTAGCTCTTCTCTTTCCCAGCATGATGTGCCTTATTGGAGGCGAAAGGAGGACAAAGAGGATAAAAGGAAGGGAAAAGCCCCTCTTCCATCAGCCAGAGCATGCCATGATGGCAGAGAAGTCATAGTGCCTGGTACCTCCTCTCTCATCGGTACCAGGTAAAACTCTTATTTTCCCAGAGTTTTGACTATTAATTTTTAATCTTAGTTTGAATATTGCCTCTTATTCCTTGCTGCTGCTGATAGAATTGCAGTTGCTCCCATTTTATTGCTGTGGGTTTTATTGTTCATTGTTTCACCCTGTGTGTGTGTGTGTGTGTGTATTGCCCCTGCCTTTTCTGTTATGCATTTCAACTTTTCACTTTTGTTAACTACCCAGAGAAGCCTTGGCTATTGGGTGGTATAAAAATGAAATAATAAAGAAGGAAAGTGACATCTGGTGGAATACCCTGCTCTGAGCAGCTCCTTCTGGACAGCCGTCTTCTTCTTTTAAGGCCTCGTTCTCACAAACAATGGATGGAATGGTAAACCAGTGTCTTCCATCTACAAATTGAGAATCATTGCATGATGGAATGGGCCTAAGCATGGAGTACCAGGGAGTACTCTGAAAGTGCCAAAGGCTCTCCTGAAGACAGCTCAGGGGCCTAGCTGACATCCCCCAACTCAGAGGTCACTGGGCATCACTGCTATGTGCATCTCCTTGACCCCACGTTGTACGGCTGTCCAGGTATGTTGTCTGCAGCCAAGGTGAAACTAGAAGGCAAAGGACAAGGAATTTGAAGAAGCAAATTGGGGACACTTGAATTTGAACCAAGGAAATTCCATGAGTAATCATTGCCAGGATTGCTATGCCACTGTTTTTGAGTTGTTGCTGGCAAAACAAGATACATAAAGGAAATGTGCAAGCTCTCTCTGGGAGCTGATATGCAGAAAGGGCAGAATATTTCTGTACACCGAAGAAGATGCGTATGCTGCTAGCAGAAAAATACGTGGCTGAATCCTCCATCTTGACAGAGGAGATGTTTAAGTTAAAAGCATCATTCGTCAGTCCCTCGGCTATGAATCTGTCAGAATTGGTTGCTTTCTCCTCCATGCCAGAAAGATTAATTCTAGCATAATAGAGGAGCTGAAGCCCCATCTTCCAGTGATGCTGATACCAAAGCATAGCATCATGGTCATAGGTTTGGATGCATTTCAGTCTGACTGTTTTTCCCATCTCCATAAATTCCTTGGCTGGTAGATTTCTCCATCAGTGCATCCTTGGGAGGAAGGAAGAAGAAGAGGCACTGAAAGAAATGTCTCATATAATTGTTTAACATTTTTCTAATTTTGAGTATTATTGCATTGCTCAAGTAATCAGATTAACTTTTCCAGTTCCTCACTACAAACTTTCATGTATGCAATCTACAGACTTTTAACTGTCATGGCTGCCTGTACAGAAAGGAAAGAGTGCTGCAGACTCCCAGAACACAGGTGGGGAACCATAGCATAGCTTGAACATACTCTCTTAAACAACATATTTAGACTAAGGACATAAAGTAATTTTGGTCTCCTGGAACAAGATGCACAGGCCTAGTCAAAAAATACCTCAACAACAGTTAGGTATTTTCCGAAAGAGCCTCAAAGCAAGCTGTTGCTCAGCTTTGAGTGTAGCCATCTTTTACCCAGAAGGGTGGGTGGGGGGGGGATCACTACTGCCTTGCCACCCACTGTGTCAAGAACTGTAAAAACTGGAGGGAGATGAAGCTGCATTTTAATCTTAAAGAAAAACATTGGTGCTCCTGACTGTGAGTTTCTTTCGCAGCCAGAAACTCGCCTGCAACCAAGAGGAAAACAGCCACATACCACACCGTTTGTGTCTCCATCTCCGGAAGTTTGCTTTGAAGCATTCTCTTTTAAGCATTGCCAGGGCAGCAAGTTTCTCCTCTGCCCAAAGCAGGCTGGCTAAACAGCTCCCCCTTGTGCATGGAAAGCTTATTCTGCACAGTTTTTTGGTTTTTTTGTGGGGGGTAGCATTTATGAAAGGTTGCAATCTCAGGTATGCTTAGGTAGAAAAAATTGCAGAATCAGCTCCTGGCATCTTCCAGCCAGCACAGAATGTGCTCTAAATTCTATTTACTTATGGAACATGTTGAGCTGTAGGGCCTCGAATAACTCTGAGACCCAAACCACTCTTTTTTAAGGGGCAGATACAATAGGGGTCTGGTGGGCTGCAAAACACATTGTGATAGAGCTGGGGATGGAGATAATGAATTTTTTCCCCGCAAGCCCCCTTTGCAATTAAAAACTGCCCATCCTCCCAGTTTTTCCCCTTTTGGCCTCTGAGGGTGGGAAAATGGCTGGGGGTGGAGGGATACTTGGGTCCTAAAGGTGGCCTGCAGTAGATGTTAATCATCCCTCTCCCTGCGCAGTAGACAACACTGCAAGGCTGTTAGAAGCTTTGCATTCTCCATCACACACGCACACGACCTGCAGAACGGGGGCCAGTGATGCGTTGCAGTGGCTTCTGCACTGGCAGAGCAGGGGATGATGGCACTCTCTGTATGAAACAAGGCCTGAGCTAGAAAGAGCCAACTACTTCCTTTTGACAGCCCAGTTGCAGTTATGCTTAAACTTCCTGCATTTGCCCTTCCTCATGGGAGATGGGGGAAACTGTGGCGAAAGAAACCAAGGAGTCCTGCTGCTAGTCGAGGGAAGTGTGAATCCAGCCCACTTCTGGTGGTTTCTTCATTCATCTAGAAAAGGCACAGTATGTAACGGCGGCATAGAAATGTTTTAAATAAATAAATATTTGTCTCAGACCTTTTCCCATTAGAACTTTTCAGCTGACTAACCCTACCTGAAAAACAAACCAAGAATAATACAAATAAATGATAACAGCTAAGTGGCACTTACACAGAGGCTCCAATATATATTTTTAAAAGGGAAAGAAGGGGAATAACACAAGATGTGGATGTAGCACCACCTGAGACATTGCTTGGCACACTGAGACCACGCCTTGCATGCCAGGAGGACTGTACATTAGTGGACCGTCGGCACAGAGGGATGCACCCACTGTAGAAGCAGCCCTTGCTGCAGCAGCATCTTCGCCGTACTGGAGGCCGTGCCCAGAAGGCCCAGCCACGCAAGGCCTCTTTGCACATGCAAGGACTAAATGGAGGAATCCATTCCAGATTCCACCATTCATAAAACCTGGGCCCAGCGCAATCAATTTACTCCTGGCTTGCCGTTTTTTTCCTGGAGCAAAAACTTGAGGTTCCCCTCATCCCAGTCTCAGGCTTGTCAAGTAGCAGCAGGCAGAAGGGGATCCAGAGAATTTCAGTCTTGAGTTTCTCATATAAGTTTAGTCAATGCGGTTCTACGTACCCTGAAAAAAAAAAACATTTTGATGGACTTAGATCACCGCACATGGCACTTCAGCCAAAGAAACCTAAGCGGCCATATGCATTGTGTACCAAAGTGCATTCTCACAGTGCTGGGCAATGAAATGCTCAAGCACAGAAGCAAGAACATAATATGCAGTTATGAATTTTGTTATTTCCTGGCGATAGGGCATGCAAAATACCCCCAGCTTTAATATGCAACCTGCTTTGCTTTGCTTCAGTGTATGTCTCTCTCTCTCTCTCACTTCCCTTCCTCTCTTTCTCCCATTTTGTGCATAAGTACATAACACAGAAGATGTATGGCTGTCGTAGACTTGCCCCTCCCATACATGCCTGCCCAGTAAGAACCAGTAAAAAGAAATGTGTGATGCACCCCATCTGACTCAACATTTCCCTAACCCTGCAAGCTGTAATCCTGCAAGCTGGACCATGGGACAAACAAAGGCTAAAGAACACATTGCATCATGAACATCTTTCCCTATATATAACTGGCCAGATGCATGGAAAAGATGTGGGTTGGTGGCACTCCCTCTGTCCTTCCCCACTGACGACAAACTGAACACACATCTGGAACCCTTTGAACATGAGAATCCGGGGATGGTGAGTGGAAGAGTAAAAGCAGAACATTCTGCTGCTGCTTAGCTACAAATTGCCCCTTCCAACATTGCTTGTGGGAAGATATAATCCATTAGGTTTTCCCTAGACACATCTGCATGCCGTGTGCAATGGGATGAAACATGAAATGGAGTGGAATGAAACATATCCATGGTGCTCCATGGTAGGGAACTTATTTTGGGAATGGAGTCTGGCACCACGGCATGCCCTTATGCAGCTTGGAATAAAAGCCGCGATGGATGAAGAAGCCCACTGACATAGAAATCATCTGCAGACACACATCACCATTCCAAATAGCACCTCGCATCCATGTTTAAACCAAAGTTTCTCTGAATTTTCTGCCAGTGTCCTGAAGCGTGCATAAAGGCAGCTGGTAGACCATGAAAATTTGATCTGCATAACAAGCAAAGATTCTGCATAATGAGCAAACCTGCCTGCCTAAATGCGGTGGGTTACAACATTACAACCGTAACCCTGACACCACTGTATCACAATGCAGTTTTATTTGCACATTGTTTTAAGCACAGATGTACAAGAAGATAAACTGTGGCAGGAGAGCGCCGTGGGTGAGATTACAATTAAGCTGACTGGAGAGTGGCAGCAGCTGCCTTTCCTGTCTGCTGCAGCTAGCTGAGGATGGGGGGAGTCCAGCGCAGTTCGTGTGCAGCTGTGAGACAGGGAGCTCTCGCTGTGCCTTTACTGGTTGCACAGAAATACACTGCAGAGTCTCCAGCCTGTCCTGGAGGAGTGGTCAGCGACGCATGTTTCACATCTGGTCTCTTTATCGTGTAGTTCGTCATCTCCATATTTGGATCATTTCCCTCAACAGAGTAGCCGACAAGCTGCAGCTGCTTCTGCATACTGTTGCTCTCCTGCCGATACCACAGGATGGTTAAGAATGAAGAATCGTCATGTTCGCAGTTGATGCTTGTCTGGATCCCGGCCTGGACAATTTTGAACGGCTCCTGTCTCACAGTAACCCCACAGCAGAGACCTGCAAAGACCTGAGATGTGAACGAGGCCCATTACAACTGGGGACCCTGCTTTGCTTGTGAGTCACAAGGGAACTCCAAATTCCCCTTAAGGTTGACACCCCTTTCTCATACCATTCCGACTAACATTTTTGCCAACTCTTTGCCCATATTCAATCAGAGAGTGGCCCATGAAATTTCAGCAGCAATTAAATCACCCCAACATTTTCCAACCTATCCTTGTATCCACTTTTTTCTAGTTCTCCTACCAAGCCATCGCTGAGTATTCCCCACAGCACCACACTGCTGCTGCAGCCACTGGGAATCAAGTCTGCTCTTACTTGCCTGGCCCAATTCTGGGCTCAGCTTCTCGGTCCTACAACACTCTGCATAACACTCAGCCTGGCTTTTACATGTACGTGGGCACATAGCAGGGTGACAGCCCCCTCTCCTGCCCAGGAGGATCCTTAATTAAATCTTTTCATGCTTCTCCCGTCATTTAACAAAGCTTCCTCAGTCCTCCTCTCTATCTTTTCTTTCTTCTTCACCAGTTGGTCTTCTCAGCCACAACTTCCCCTGACTGCTGCAAGCAGTTTCCAACCTCCCTGATCTTGACAGATCTCTCCTAAAATCATCACTCTACACCACAGGTATCTTTTCACCCTTTCTACCTGCCAGAAGCAGCAAGCCAACTGAGACCCCCAGCATCTTCCTCCTTGTGGCCTGGTACATGAAATACACTCACACTCTCTCTCTCACACACACACACGCAATGTCTGTTGCACCCAAATGCCTGACTGGAGTTCCATGAAGGAGGAGGCTCACTCAAGCATCTGACTGGTTGAGGGGATGACTGTAAAACCATCCAGCCAATGAGGCAGAGCAGCTGCGCATCCACAGGGAGGAGGGACTTATTTCTGCTGAAGTTGAATCATCTTCATTCGATGGGTTAAGTCATCTGTTAAGAGCTTATCAAATCTGAATGCATTAGCAATCCTACTTTGATAACATCTCTTGAGTGAACTACAAGGCATCTAAATCATCAGCCCTTTTCAACAAGCTAGAAAGAATAATTTTTAAAAATATTCTCTCATTCTCCAGGTATTTTCTGTGCATAGACAAGCCTGTTCTTCCTTCCCTCCTTCCTTCCTTCCCTCCTTCCTTCACAGTCATTATTTATCTGTAGAATAGCCACTGATTGCTTAAAATGTCATGTTCTCCCATAGTGGCATTGCACTCCCCAGGAATCATGAGGTTTCAGAGAGTAGCGCTTTATTGTTTTCTCACTTTTGCACCTATGTGCTGTAAGTAATAGAGAAATTGGCTCCTTACTAAAGTTAAATCCAAATACTCCTGTAACAGGGCTTTGTATTTGTCGAGAGTAAATTCTCATGTATGGACAACATTACAATTAGAACTCAAAAACTAATTCACAGAACTGTGAAACCTTGCAAAAGGGCAGGATGTAAATCTAGACTCCGGTATGTTGTGATTGTTATAATTATCATTTTTATATTTCCATACCAGCCTTAGCTGAAGCTCTCTGGGCGGTTCACAACATTTAAGTCACCCATCCAGATTTCAACCAGGACAGACTCTAGTTGACTTTCAAGAATAAATCGAGTTAGAAGGACAAATATAAACACTGCTTAATTATAAGGAAATAACTCTAAATGGCAACTTGCCAGTCTCAATGCTTTCAGTGCCTTCATTTCTTCAACATTCAGCAACATCCATTGCTGAGACTGTGGCCAGGGATATCCTTTTGGAGATACCTTTTCAGAGCTCTTTATAGTTTACTTCAGTTGTCACCATCCCAAATAATTTGCAATTTTCTACCTCACAGCTTACCCTGGACTCCAGCTTTTTATGGGCAGCTTTAATTTTAGTGGTTCCATTCCAAATCCATCGGGGGGACTTGTCTGCTAACTCCTCTCCATTGTGAGAAGATTCTGAAGGGGCTGAAGAGGACTGAGTGGGTAAATCTGGAAGGAGTGGAGTTATCTCACCCTTCTTTGTCCATCTGGGCACTTGGTGCTGCTTCAGCTTAGGTTGTTGTGGGGTCATTGCAGTCATCCATAGAAGTCCTATCATTTTTCTGGGATTCAGGTGTCAGTGTCTTTTTCCCAGTGTTGGACCAGAAAGATTGAACAGCAATTGTTAGCATGCCACCCACTCTGCTGCCAAACCGCCTCCCTACCAGCAATGGTGTTGGCATGCCCCCTGCCAGTGGTCCTGAGTATTTCCATTTCTATGCTGAGGCTTCTCTAAGTACCGTGGGGCTGTCTAGATGCCCCACAGGCTCCCATCAAGTGGCAAAGCACACCCTCAGCCTGACCTTAGCTTCAGTCAGATTGGGAGCAGTTCAGTAGTAGAAGGAGTTCCTATTACTCTATGACCACAGGTGGGTCATTCACTGGCCAGATTTTGTATTTGAGGATACCCCCTCCCCATGCAAGGGAGGGGGACTCATGAGGTGACTCAGCTTCTGGAGGTGACTCAGCTTCTGGGCTCATTTGATTAGAATTGGCTACACCTCTTGCAAAAGCATCTGGAAGAAATACATCCTAAGGCGATGGAATACGGGTTGGTTTGGTCCAAGTTGGTGGAGGAGAAAAAGCTATAATATGGTATTGGTGTACCAGGAAAGATCCACACGTGTGAGTACATGTTTGCACTGGGGTTTGTGTAGAGTTTTATGTTCACTGTTTGTGAAAATCTTGTGTTCATTGTTGCTGTCTGTGTTTTTCTGTCTTGTCTGTTTGTATTTTAAAGTGTTCCCCTTTCTGGGAGGTAGACATAGCCCGGAGTGGATTTTGGGGGTTTCTCAGGAAATAGAAGCTCCCCCACACAGCCGCCCCAATCTGTCCTATTCAGAGCAAGGTTGAAAGCAAGGGCGTGGATGGGGGTTCTTGCCCCTGAGATGAGAATGTGTGAACCTGGCTTTGATTGAGAAACAGATTCATGAGGTCATTTGCCTGAGCCCAAGCATGGCTGAGTCCGGCTGGGCAAAAGGTGATGATCAGGGCATGTGTGTGTGAGATTTTTTCCTTCCCCCATTCCTTCCATATGAGCTAGAACTGGGAAGTAAGGAAATGTGTGGCCCTTGAATTGGGCTTGCAAACACAGGTCCTACCCAGTTTTCTGGACATCCTCAATAAGCTTATCCTGTGTGAAAGCCCTGTACGAAAGAGGGGTTATATAGAAACATTTTTATGCAGGTCCTTTCCTTGTCAGAAACCGGGAACACTGTTTTAATGTCTTGCAAGTTTTTCAGCCTCTTCCATCTGCCTTACAGCCCTCCTAGGTAGGAAGATTTCCTTCTTGTTGGATTAAATAACTGAAATTTCAGGAGGGGATGCAGATAGGCAGATGAAAGATTTTTTTAAAAAAGTATATACTGTTGAGAATTCTCAAGAGTAGGAATCCTGAAAGGATTCCCCGAGAGATAAAGAAAAGGATTTTTCTTTTATATTTTGGGGACATTTGCTGGTAAAGTCTTGGAAATTTGAATGGCTGTGTTTAGCTCCTCATTGAGAGTGCTTAATGTTCTTTGTTTTAACCCAAACCTTCCCAGGCAGAATTTTTCCTGAGGCAATACAAGCTTTAAACACTCAAAGAACCTCAAATGCCTTGCCTCAGTTACACAACTTTTTTTTTAAGACACCAAGATTTCTTTTGAGAGTTTTCTAGATACTCCAAGACTTCTTTTGAGAACTAGTGCAAGCCTTCCTCCAACCTGTGGCTGGAAGCAGAGCCACTCAAACTTCCCAAAGTACTTTGAACTCTGCACATGCATATGGTCAAAATGATTGCTCTTTCCCACGAACCCGAGTTTTATTTCCTCCTCACAAATTGAAACTGCAGGGATTCTGACACTATATTCTGGCCCAGCCCTATCTCTGAGCTGTGGGTAAATTTTTGAGCAGTTTTATGAAGCTTCAGTGAGTATTTCATTCTCTGGCCCCAGTGTATTGTTATGTCCCACGGTTTTACAGATGAGATTAGAGACCAGTTGGTATTTTCAAGAGAAGGTTTATTTCCTATAGGGATGACACTCTCTCACAAGGATGGGATGAGTGCCGCGCGTTTTAGAGGGACCACGGAGTATTTATACCTTGTTACACAAAAAAAAGGAAAATCGTTTCTTGGCAGCATAAAGCAAGCTAGCATGATTTACAGAAGCGAGACGATTTGTAGCTCTGATACAAAAAAGTGGCGCGGCCTTGCAGTTTGTCTATGTTTTGATAACAGTGGAGATGCTCTGCAGCTGGTCTATCCTTTTAAGTTATTACCCCTTTGATGAAACTTGTCTATTTGATAAAGTAACACTCTGTATGCATGAAGTAACTGATAACCCTTCCATTAGGCTATTTTTATTGAGACCCCAACCGGTCCCAGGCGCCAAGGGTTCTCCCCACTTGCCCTCTTGGACATCCAGTTGGTCTGTCACAGGAGTTCACACAGGGTTCACAACTCTCCGTTCCCCCCTCCTCCCTGCTGGACAGGATATACAACATGACTGCGGCTCTCTGGCTAAGTGGTCTTCCTTGGTTTAGCCTAAGTGGAGTGAAAGGGGGCATTCTTGGTAACGCTATCATATGAATGTGCCCACAAACATGTCTACTGCATTGTATGTGTTATTTTGTTCTCAAGCCAGTTGGGTCAAGTCCAACAGACACCACTTTGGTGAGAGTATCATCAAAGAGATCTGAGACTAGGAGAGCATGCAGGGCAATGCATGGCAATGTGCTGTAGTGGGTACAGTCTCCACAGTCTACTGAAAACTAGTGTCTCATTTCAGACTAATCAGACTAATAAACCAAACCAGCCTTATTTAATTCATGCATGCAATACGTTAAATATACCAAAATCTAGAAATTAGAATTAGAATTTTTCCAATGTTGGAGATTTTAAAATAGCCACTAGTCTAAGTGATCTACTGCTGAACTTTGGAAAATTCATACAAAACTATCATGGATCAGCAAAATGCATCTGTTGCTTTCTTCCTGGATAAATACAGGAAATTCTGTAACAACAAGAATGGTTCTTAAGGCATCTTAAAGACTAACAAATTGTCCCCTAGGTTGAACTCTGAGGGAGAATCACACAAGCACTCACCATTTTCTAGTCCCTCAGTTTCTTTTGAAAGCACGGCATGATGCAGGTTTTCTTCACCTCTCTGCCATCTTGCTCAATAGGGGAAGACACAATGGGAGAGAACAAGGAAGAGGGAAATATAACTTTTGAGGGTGTAATGAAGGAATGGGTCAGACATGTAACAAGGAGTGCCATTTTATGTATTTGACTTTTGTCGGTGTATTTATGTATTTAGGGTAGAAGATGGGGGAAGTGGGTCAAGCAAAAGCTTCACAGCAATGGATGCTTTTGAGGAAGAATTGGAAGGAATATCATTTGTAATCTGAAACATCATATAATTTAGGCCAAAGTACTTTCTATTTCAAACACAATTTAAAACACTTTTTGAAGGGAAGGCCCAGCTCAAATTCAGTCCAAATCTCCAAAACCCACAATATTATACAACAGAAGAATGGGAATGGCATTAAAAATAGCCAGAATCGCAAAAACGATTAGGTCAGCTTACACTGCATTTTTGTGTGTTTTATGACTAATGTGTGATACTGCAGGGTTTTTTCTGTACCTGCTGTTGTTACAAAGCCACGTAATGATCTTCAAATTTTCCATTGTTTGTTTTTCCCTTGGATGAAGTCCTTGGGGTAGAGATAATGTCTCCCAAAAGGCTATATAAATATTTTTGGGCACATGTTCTTCCTGCTTCATCTACCTGGAGGAAGATACCATGAAATCCATTTTGCTCATAGTCTTCTTGGGAGCGGCTGGTAATTCTTCATTTTTTTATACACTCCTTATCTGGACAACATGGTAGTGAGATGGAGAATGCTCTTACTCTGAAGCGCCTGCTTAATTCAAGGCTGAGGAGGTAGCATTTCTGTCGCCTTCCAAATACTTTGATACATGTGTACATACTGCTGAGCTTGAGAGTTTTCTTTAAAAGCACAAGGATTTTGCCTAGCTAAATATTTTCCTTTCCTAATGATTGGATTAATCTATGTGGGCACAGAAATGTTCAGGGAGGGGACTTGTCTTTTAGGATCAGGTGGCCGGGCTGGGCTGGGCTCCTCTCCTCTCCTCCTTCCAAAGAAACTCTTTGGGGTTTCTAATTCAACCTGTGTGGTGGCTGCCTTAAGCAATCTGGTCACATTTATGAACAAATGCCTCTGGGAATGATGTTACATCCTGAAGTCGGCAGAGCATTCTGTCGTAAGGATACCCAGAGCAGCCAGGCTGCTATACAGTAAGCCCTCCCCCGAATTCTTAAAATTCCCTTCCTTGACAGCACCCCAAATCTTCACTCACTTTTGCAGGGCAAGAGGGAGTGAAGAAAGAGGGAGATATTCAGCACACCTTTCATTTCTGATGCTTTTGCAAGCACCCATCTTTTATTGCCATGCCAAGCAAAATGTTTGCCACAGACCCAGTTGTGGGAACCCCAGTGGGGGATTATGTGGGTGCCCCATAATGCAGAAGCCTTCAGAGGTGGGAGTGGGGTCTACAGTAGGAGGGGAGGAAGGAGAGGAAGTTGAATGAGTGAATAGAGGAGGAAGCCGCAGAGAGGAGTGGCCACCCTGCCCCAGAGAGGGTGGCCTTGGCTGCCAGCTGGTTCTTTTGAGACTGAGAGAAGCCTGGTGCAGTTAATCAGCAGCTTAGCAAAGGACAGTCCCACCCATGACAACTTTTTGCTCTGTTTAATGGGACCAAGCCAATCTGGACAGGAGACGACGTATCTCACTGGAGGAAGGACAGCCTTGAGCCCACAGCCTGAAATCACTTTGATGCAGGGTGTAATGTTGCATTCACATCTCTGTGCTTTTCGTGTTCTTTACCCAGCTGCCTTCCCTGCTCAGGGCGATGAAGATGATGATGATAAGATAGTGGGGGGCTACACCTGCTCACCACATTCTGTCCCCTATCAAGTCTCCTTGAATTCTGGGTACCATTTCTGTGGCGGCTCCCTCATCAACAGCCAGTGGGTTGTGTCAGCAGCTCACTGCTACAAATCGTGAGTAAATATGTATTTGTCACTCTGCTTCTTGCCACATAATTGTTCTGGAAAGTTTGTGCTTTTTCCACAACTGGCAGAAGCAAGCACCCCGCAGTCGAATTGGGAATTATCCACAGTGGCACAGTAGCGCCTCAATACTGAGTGTTTTTCAGATTGAGGGCCAAACACAGCTTCAGGGAAGTTCTTAGAGGCCACATGCCAGTGGTGGATGAAGCCAAAACCAAAGTGGTCAGGGCCAAAAATGCTAACAGGTTTTAGCCTGATGTTCTTACAGCGAGTACATACGTGTTGGGCATGGCGTTCCAGCATTTTATACTGGGGAAGAAGCCTTGCAAAGTTAGATAACCACTGACTCATCAGGGGTCTGGAGAAAGTGGGGAGACCAAGGGAGAGGGAGCATGGCTGTCCCAGGAACCTTCAGAGTGCTACAGAACTCAGCCAGTCAACAGCTAGGGCAAACCCGGGTGGACCCCAGACCTGGGGCAAGAGGAGCCTGAGATGAGACTTGGAGCCAAAGCCAGCTTTATTCTAGTGCACTATAGAATAAAGGGAGACAAAAGGGGACATTCAGCCCAAAGCAGTGTCTCGAAAGTTGCACCCCAGTACATGCCTTTTATACCCTAGGTAACCAATTAGGTCACCTAATACACATCTAATACATCGATACATCAATGTAGCCACACCCCCACTGCTGTTAGCTTCAAAGAGTCTTTTCTTCTGTCAAGGACCAGACATTTCCCATGTCTATTTCTTATCTGCTCGAGATTCACACAGGTTTGCCATGTTCTTACTCCCTGCACATTTGCAACTTTAATGGCGGCTAGAACCAGTTTCCACTGTCCCTTTGATTACTGTATTCGAGGTCAGGTTACTGTATTAGCTGTGGGTTACACAAAGTTCATTTTGTTCTTATCCCCTCTCCCTTCTGGGACAGTATAACTGTGGTGTTTTTACTATGTGGCCTTCCTGTGGCCAACTACTTTTGGGGCCTTCCTCTGGCCAATTACTTTTTGGGTGTTTTGGGGTGTTGCAATTGGCAACAAGAGGGTGATCCTGGGGCCCCGAGGAGGTTAGATTTGGCCTGTTGGTCTAAGGTCTGGAGTGTGACTCCCTTGCAGTAGTGCTTAGTATATGCAAAGATGTTGATCTGATTGCTTCCATAGAAGTGTGTGTGTGTGTGCTTATGCACCTTAAGGGGACCAGGCGCAAACCTGTCCACATCCAAGCCATCTGGGGGCAAAGGACGCCTCCACGAGCAGCAGGATCAGCAAGAAGGGCTTTGGGAGCATGGGCTGCTGAGGAGTGTTGGGAATGGGGATGCTTATGTTGCTCCTTCTTCCAATCTAGACGTGTCCAGGTAAGACTTGGGGAACACAGTCTGACCTTAAACGATGGCTCGGAGCAGTACATCAATTCAATCAAGGTCATCCGTCACCCGAGTTACAACTCCAACATGCTGGACAACGACATCATGCTGATCAAGCTGTCCACGCCAGCCACCCTCAACAGCAAAGTCCAGGCAGTGGCACTGCCCACCAGCTGCGTGGCTGCCGGGACCCAGTGCCTGGTCTCCGGCTGGGGCAACACCGCCAGCAGTGGCTGTGAGTGCTCATGTGTTGCTGTTCAGGCGAGGGGCAGCACCGGCCAGCCGTTGCATCTGCACATGCACAGGGCGAAAAGGATCAGCTGCTGGGCGGGATGTTCAGGATGGAGGAGAGGCTACTTCACCCACTGAGCAGCAAAGCCATGGAATGCACTTCCACATGATGGAGTGAAGGCCACCAATTTGGGCACTCGACCGATTCATGGAGGAGAAGCTTATCAGAGGCTACTAGTCCTGAGGGCTAGATGCTGCCTCCTGTAGCAGAGGCAGGAGGCCTTGCTGGGGGACTTGGGCAGGAGGGGGCAAGTGCCCTCATGCCCTGCCTGCGAGCTTCCTGTGTGCAGCTGGTTGGCTGCTGTGTGCCCAGAGTGCAGCACTAGATGGGCCCTTGGCTCTTTTGATGTTCTTAATAGGAGGGGTAGTAAAATAGCCAGCAAGGCTCCTTTCGTTCCTTTAAATAAATTCCAGCTCCCTCCAAATTTATGTTTTTTCTTTATTACAGTTATTTGCATCCTGCTTTTCAGGATGCAAGTTTTCCAAAATGCAAGCAACACCAATAATCACTGTGAGGGTGGTGAAACTGTGACTGAGGCTCTGGGAGTTCTAGTCCCTACTCACCCATGAAGCGCACAGGCTGACTTTGGGCCAGTCACTCACTGTCTACCTAACCTACCTCACAGGGTTGTTTGGGAGATAAAATGGAAAGGAGGGAGTGGGGAACACCTGCAGTTTTCAGAATGAATGTAATCTTCTTTTCTTTCTTGTTTGTTTCCTATTTCCTGCAGCTAGCTACCCTGATCGCCTGCAATGCCTGAAAGCCCCCGTGCTTTCCACCAGTCAGTGCACCAAAGCTTACCCAGGGAAAATCACCAACAACATGTTTTGTATGGGATTTCTGGAGGGTGGCAAGGACTCGTGCCAGGTAAGTCCTCTCTTTCCAAGGAGAACACAGCCATTGAATTAAGAAACACCAAGATCTTTATGTCTGGTTTCTGAACAAGGGCTGTGTTTTAGATGAAGGAAGGCCTGGAGAATACAAGCATAGAGGAGGGTGTATTTGAGAACTGCTGCTATTAAAACTTGTTCCTCACTATTTCATCTTAACTGTAATAACTGCTAAAATAATGAATTTACTCCAGCCCCATATCTGTACACACTGACAATCCCAATGTACAGAAGAGCACTGACTCTTGCCCATTTTAATGTGCTTCCACCAGCACTACTAAAAGTGCAATTTAATAAGACCCCAGTCAATGAACAGATACGTGCTTGTGGTGCTAAAGCAGTAGAATCAGTGGAACATATTCTCATGTATTGCAGCTTTTATAGGGAATGCCAAGAGAAATTTATTAAACCTTTAATAACACATTTTTATGGGAATGATTCTTCCAGTCTGATATCTGTGTGTTTAAGGGATGTATCTCCTTATGTCACTGGAAATGTTGCCAAATTTTTTATATCTGCAATGCAGATGAGGAAAAATGTGGTCACCTTTTTAACCACAAGTTGTATAAATTCTACTTGTTTTAATTGTATTTTAATTTACTACTGCTGTTTTATTTGATTTTGAATCTTTCTGGTCTGTGACCATAATAAAAATGTATATGTACTACCACTATAAGACACATCCAGCAAAAGGAGAAATAAAAGATTATAAATTCAAACGCAAAAGAGGAAGATGTTGGGATCAGGGGCTATTCAGGCTGCCAGAAGAAAAGTTCCCGGTGGCCTGAATAAACTTTCAGGTCTTCAGTTGCTGCAACCCTAGAAGTGCAGCTTCTTTGGAGACAATGGAGCCACTTCAGTATATTTCTGTTTGATTGATGAAAAGACATGTGGAATATGCACTCATTTCTTTTCTCCTACCAACATCTATTTTCAAGAGAGTTTTTTATGGCACTTAAAAATCCTGCAAATCCTTCCTGGCACTAATACCAGGGCAAAAGAACTGAATGTGGACATGGATGGAAAGAATGGCTGTCATGCCTCCTTCAGTCCTTTGGCCCACCCACAGGAACACGTTCCTTGGATTTTATGTTGGTTGAACTGCTATGGGCTCCCCCAGCAATTCTCCCAATTATAAATCAATTCAGTATGGACCCCTTTCTCCTCAAAATCCCTCACTAGTACTCTCGGTGGCAGCTGCCAATCCCTGCTTTGTCCCTTTGCGCTAGTAAGCATTTACGCTGTTGCCCCATCACTGTTTTGCTCTAGTGCAACATCACTGGATGCCACCAACTCTGTGGATGGCATCACACATCATGACAAGCGATCTTGCAAGGTCTGTGCCTCGCAGTTTGTTGCATGGATGTGCCTGAAATAACTCTCCTCCTGTTGGCCATTTCCTTCCCTCTTGGTCCTCCGGGCAGTACCCCAGGAGGCACCGCGGGAGGAGTGAGGTTCCCCGCTTTGGCAGCTGTGATTGCCGGCTGAGTTGGTTCACTGTGGCTGTCAACAGCCTCTGTGGCTCCAACAGGGCAGCAGATGAGGGAGCAGATGAGGAGGCACCCTTGCCTCCTGCTCCAGAGGGGACTGCGCAGGAAGGGGGTGCCTGATCTGTGCTCAGGCCAAAGGAGGGGGAATTCAAGCTGGAAGCACTGCAGAAAAGGCCGATGCCACTCTCCACAAGCTCATGAGCAAGGCCCCTCCCACGTGTGAGCAGCAAGGGCAAGAAGCTGCTTGGCAGCAGCCACCAGCTGAGGGGTGTACACTGTAGCAGAGTCCCCTGTGCCACCCCTCTTGCTCTGCAGAGAGAAGCTCCTTACACCACCCTTTGCAAGCCAGCAGCAGGGGTGAGAAGCATCTGGGCAGCATGGTGGAAAGGCACAGTGTCCCTCAGTGGATCTCCCCCCCTGCCCCAGTTCTGGCCTCAATACCCCAGTGAGTAGTGTCTTCCAGTTTAAACTACCCAACAAACAGTCATGGTTCCCAAAAACCCCAGAACAGACTGTTATTTCTGTCCATGGGTCCTCAAAAGCAAACAGATCAGACTAAAATGTCACCATGGGGTTCAGATGACACAACAGATGTGCCTGCAGAAAGAATTGCCACTGGTCATGCGAACCCGTCCTCTGTGTTTTGTGGCTGCTCCTTCTCCAAACAATGGCCTGTCTCCAGCTACCCAAAGTGCTCTCATCCCTCCCAGCTGTACCACTCACTAAGATGCTTTCCTGTGCTCTTTTACAGGGAGACTCTGGAGGCCCTGTGGTTTGCCAGGGGAAGCTCCAGGGGGTTGTCTCCTGGGGCATTGGGTGTGCCCAGAAGGGCTACCCAGGCGTCTACACCAAAGTCTGCATGTATGTCTCATGGATTAACAACGTCATCAAGTCTAACTGAACAGAGCTGAGCCTCTGAAAAGATTTCTCCTTCCCCCCAAAAAGTCTGTGTTCAGGGGTTGCATATGTGATAATAAACAAAACCGATGGCGTTCATGATGCAGAGGAGCGTCTAGGTGATTGTCCTTTCATGCTTGTTCTACTGCAAAAAAAAAATCTTGGCGCTGAACAAGCCCAAATGTTCTATTGGGTTTTATTCAGGCAAGGCTAATGACTGTGTCAGCAGGACTCTTCACCCACTGTAATTTTTCTTTTCGGTTGCAGAGGGGTTCAACAGAAGTGAACCCCAGTGCTGAACTCCACCCCCAAAATAGGTTCACCCCCATGGAGCACCCCTGCTTGCTGCTATACAGCAGAAAAGAAAACTGCTATGGATGAGGAGCTCCACCCGCACGAGAGCAAAGTCTCTCCTGGCTTTCTTTATTTGAAATGAGCAACCATTAGCCATGCCCCTTATCTTACCAGCATCACCACCTGCAGAGCCCAAGGTGTTGCTAGGAGAGCATTCCAGCTACCATCTCTTCACTCTTTCACTTGCTGCAGTGCAACTGCAGTGCTGAAGAACCCGGTTCTTTCCTCTAAAACGTCTTGCAGCCTGAGAGAGCCATAACAGCCTCCTACTGCAGACCAGAAAAATGTCTGAATCACTGCACCTGAGTAGGAATTCAAAGTGCTGCATCTCACTTCACACATCCAGGTGCACTGGACATGTTCAGGAATCATGGCTGACTAAAAACAGCAGGCAGTGGGATATCTCCATTGATACTAATTTGTGGACTTTGGATATTTTCCTGCAATAGAGAATGGTAGATGAAAATGCTTTAAAAGACAATCAGCTGAATAGATTAATACATTATTATTTAGACATACTACCTGTACCTAGAATTTTCTGGAATACCTTGCCGAAGAATCCAGGTTAGCCATCAATCCATCAATATCTATTAGGAACCAGGATATTAGAGAACAATGTACCACAAGTCTGACAGATTTCAAAGAGAGAGAGTAGCCACCATAGCAGAAAAAGCTGATGGGCAAATAATAGATGTATATAGATTATCACTTAAACAGCATAACAAGGGCCCTGGATCTGTTGCTAATGTCATTGGGTTAACTAAAATAGATGAAGAACTGAGGACAAAAATGTGGTGGGAAATCCCTTTTAAAGTTACATCAGCTAAAAACATAGAGATGGCTCTTACAATCTTGCAAAAATGGTATTTCACACAATCTGACCTTTAATATGATAGATCAATCTTACCATTGTGTTGGAGAGCCTGTGAGGTTAGGGTTATATTTGTACTTACATATATGGTGGGATCGTGAATGTATTCAACAAACCTCAAGAAATTTCTTCCATAATAGAAACAACAGTAGTCAAAACATCAGAACTGGCATTCTTCCAAAAAGGCAGACTGGCTCTGTGTAGGCTGATGCTGAGATATGTTCTCGTATCATGATGCCAGCACACACTGCAATTATACTGCACAAAACCTGTAAGATACTCAAAAGTGTGACCAAAGCAGTGCAAAAATTAATCCAGGATAAAAGGGCAGAAATGGCACAAGGAGAACCCTTTGTGAAGTGCATCATGTGCTGCTCAAATGAGCTGGATATTATATTAACAACTGGCGACAGGGAACTGTGTAAGGTGGTCCAAAGGTCATGACATAAACGTCTTCCACATGAAGCAGCTATTGGAAGGAAGAAACAAATTGCTGACCTGCAGCAGATACTTTCATTCCAAACTGGTCATGCTCACAATGACCAAACTACCCAGGCCTTGCTGGTTGTCGCTGAAGCAAGTTTTTGCCCCGGAGACTTATAGCCTCAAAAAGGGCTGGGAGACCCCCAGCATGCACAAGCACATGTATGTGTGTGTGCATTGCTGTGTGTTTCATTTTTTAAAATCTGTCTGGACCATGCTGCAGTTGCCAAGTGCCCCAAAACAGAAGAAAGGTGCAGTTACTCTGCAGTAGGTAACTGATACTAGATACCTAAATGTAGTAGAGGCACATTTTCTACTGTCTGACTGTTACAAACAGGATGACAAGCCAGTGAAACCTCAGCCTGATCTGTTCTCAGGAAAGTCGTTGGTTGTTGGTCTTTAGCGGTTTGCTTGTGACTGCACAGATGTGTCTTCCTGCTAAAGCAGCAAAGCTGCAACACACTCTGTAGAAAGCACACCAGGTTTTACCTTTCAAGAGGGGCTATTGGAAAGAGAGAGACTGTGCCCTTACTCTCTGGCCTAATGAACTGTCGAGCCTCCAAAAAGCAACATATTTAGGTGATTGCATGTGAGAGGGACATGTCTCTCAACAATAAGGAGGAAGATTGCTACTTCAGTCTCCAGTATCTGAAATATATGTGGATCCTGGATTCCAGAGCTTGGAGTGAGGAAAATAATGACCAAGTTCTTGGAGGAGGAAGAAATTATTCCTGAGCACAAATGCGTTCCATCCATGCATAATTCTGGCGCCTTAGTAGAGGCAAAGTCCTCAAATGTTTTTTCAGTCTTTGTCATGAAGTTGATGTCTTTCTCAAGGAGAAAGGAAAAGATCAAGAAGTACTTTCTGATCCTGGATGGATTTTTGATTTGTATCACAGAACATCGGAACACGCTGAATCTGAGAATGCAGGGAAAAGGAAAGCTTGTGTGTGACATGTATTCTGAATTGATTTCTTTTGAAGCAAAAACAAACATTTTTGTGAAACAAGTTAATGAAAGTAATTTTTCAAATTTATGCTCAAATGCACTAAAATTTGAGAAGGATGGGAATTTACAATTCATTGTTGAAAGACACATCAAAGCACTGAATCTATTGCAGGGGGGATTCCAGAAGAGATTCACTAATTGCCATAAGAATGGAAAGGAAATAGGAATGTTTCAGAATCCATTTGAAGAAGATGCAAGTAACTTTTTTCAGATGGAACTAATCAATTTGCAAACCAGTGATCATCTCAGAGACATCTACAAAGAAAATAGTCTTTTAGATTTCTATTGTGGTTTACCTGATATATTTATCAACTTGAAGACATTTGCTGCAGGCACGTTCACAGTCTTTGGCACCACATACATCTGTGAACAAACTTTTCCCAAGATGAATATTGTGAAATCCAAGTGTAGGACAAGACTTATAGATGTACATTTACACAAAATGTTAAGGGTGATTGTCACGAACCTTGACGTGGACATTAATGTGTTGACTAACAGAAAACAGCCACAAAAATCGTACTGAATAGGTGAGCCTGTGTAGCTAGAAAAAAGGATTCCACAGTAAAATATTGTTCCAAAATGGACTGCATTCTAAGTAACATTTCTTCATTGCCCTCTGAAAATTTACTTTTGATCTAAATTGGTAGGTTAATAATTTTGATACTTTATATTTAAGATGTGGTCCTCTTAGGCCATTGGGCATGCTAATGTGGCTCCCATGTCCTGGAAGGTTGCAGACCACTGTTCTAGATTATCCTGAATACAGAATTCAAGGAAATACCCCAAAGGAGCCAGGAGGAAGGAGAAGTTGGATTAAGTCCTTTGCCACTGTGTTCTTTCATAGTGGCAGTCACTTACCTGGTGGGAACAGCAAAGCCACCATCAGCTGGAAATTTGGCAGGGCAATAGGGAATTTCCACAGACGTTTGCCAGACTGAGCCAGTTGCAGGCACAGCAACATCCTAGTTGTCTGCTGAGGCATGAATGCAACAAAACACGGCTGTGAGAAGAGGAAATGATGTGACCAAGAGAGGAAATCAAAGAGGAACAACTCGAGGGAAGGGGCTGAAAGCAGACTCAACTTTTCCGTGGAGTAATAGTAGGCATAAATGCGAACATTGCATGTGTGGGGAAAAATGGCTATAGCTACCCTATCCATTGCAGCATGAAGGGTCATGTGGCCTGATGCACAAGTGCCATAGTTGCCTGCCAAGAATCATGCTCCTTGTTGCATTCCTACCCTGGCCCTTGACTGAGATGTGCCAAGCCAGCATTCTCTCCCATGTTCCCCACAAGGCAGGTTAAGTGGGATTCCCACGGCCATGGTGAAGGCTGATGTGATATCCAACCTTATCTGGAGGTGCACAGACTGCCCAACACTGGTCCATGCCCTGCTTCAACCTGTACATGGCACTATAATGTGGCATCATGGAGGAAAGTTCTGGACTCCTCCCACCTCCTGCTCATGCCACTTGGCGAACAGCAGTGCCGACAAAGCAGAAGCAGAATTTGTGATGGCCTCCTTGCTCTCTTTCTCACTGTGGTCTCTGCTGCAGGTGCAGTAGAGAATCTGGGACTCGGCCACATTCACCACCACCCTCAGCTCTGTGTTGCTACCTCGTTCAGCATCATAGGATGAGCCTCTCCAAGTTTTGGTCTCCTTTTCCCCTTTCTGTCTAAAAGTTGCCAGGAAGTGCAGCTGGCCGCGGAGGTCCTTCACGTACCAGCTCATCCAGGGGTACTCCGCATTTTTCAGCATGCAGTTCACTGAAAGGGATGAATTCTCTCCAGTGATCATGTACCGGAATGACTGCTCCACCAGTTCTTTCGCTGAAAGACAAAAGGGGCCCATAGAACAATGAAACTCTGCAGATGTGGCTTTGCCTGCTGCTACCAGAGCATGATGTGCTCAGCTTTGCCCTGGAGTCACCTGAAAGAGCCCAGCCCAGCGGCTGGTGACCACATAGAGGAGCAGGAGCATCTCTGCAGAGCTGGATGAGTGACTGGCTCGTTCGCAAGCACAATGAGCACTGGGTCAGATGTTCACCCAGCAGGCCTCTTGCAGGAAGGGGTGTGGCCAGAGATGTGCCTCTTGAATCCAGACCCTGTTGAGTACTCAGGGCTAAGCCAGGTGTGGTGAAAAATGCGCAGAGGCACTTTGTGTTCCTGGCTTTGCTTCTTACATAGCAGCTGCCAATAGTGCCAGTCAGGACTGGGTGTGTATGAGAGGGGAGCTTTTACCCTCCCATCTCACTTATTAGTAAAGTCATTTCCCCCTGCCCCCACAGCTTTTATGTGCTCTAGGAGAGAATTTGT